AATCAGATGAAGATCAGCAAAGTGATAATAGTATTGATAAAGAAAATGTAAATCCTCAATTGCAAAATCCAAGAAAGTGTAGGGAAAGGGTCATCCATTAGGTACAAAAAGGCTCAAGTCTTCTCATGAAGCTGTTAAACCTAAAGTGAAGCAACAATGTTGATGCAAAAGATGTGGTAACATTGAATATTACCAAAATAATTGCAAATATGAATGATCTTAAAGATGTTATGTTTTAATAACTTGTACTATGTATAGTCAAAGTTTAAATATGTAGCACAATCAAATTTCTTATGTATTTATAAATCAAACTTTGACTATACACATAATGCATCGCTTATTTACATATTTGAGAAACTTGCTTTATTATTACTAACAATCTTTATTTGATATTTTGCAGTTAGTAAAATAATATGATATGATAGCTCTCTTTGGCGAACTGCATGAACTACAGATTGTATTCATGTAAATTTGTACTATGTATCATGCTGATTGAAATAATACTTGGATCCAAATTTAATCCAGGTCTATTGCATATTGACATCAGGATTTAGCATATGCCTGATAATGTTTCAATTGTTAAATCCAGATCAAAGTATTAATTCTGTTACTTTGCTATATTTGTATATGTACAAGAGTAAAAAGTTTCTATTGAAACTGATTTTAAAGTAAAATTTTGTGCTGTTAGGTTAGAATTAGAGCCTTACCTCCAGATTAGAGTTTGAGAATATTATATATATTAAAATTTACTAATGTGCAAAAAGGTAATTGTTAACGTTACATAAACTGGCAATTATTGCTAATCATATGATTTAGAGGTACTAGCAATTTTTTGCTATAGCATTATATTATAATGTCCATTATTATTTTTTAATTTAGAATTTTTGCATTATTATTCTGATAATACTGTTCAAAAAGGATCTATAATTAAACATCAATGCGATGTAAAATATTATAAAATTATATCTTATAATATTAAAGAATGTCCTTATATAATTCTTATTAGTAAAGGAATATATAAGCATTTATTTCCTCCATCTACTAAAGTTTTTTAATGAAATTACTAATAAGTTAAAAGATATTATTAAAGAAGCATCTGAAAAATTAGTAAATATTATATCATGAAAGCTTGTTTCAAATAAGTAATATAATTTATTTTTTAAATATATAGTCTTAATATAATAAATAAGTTAAATTCAAATAAATATGTTTATTA